GCGGCCCCCCTCCCCGCGCCTCACCCGGCCCCTTCCCCGAGGCGTCGCCGCGGGCCTCCCCACGGCCGGCCCACCCGAGGGCCATGGACCCCAGCGGGATGGAGATTCCGGTGACCCTCGTCATCAAAGCCCCGAACCAGAAGTACCGCGACCAGACCGTCAGCTGCTTCCTCAACTGGACCGTGGGGAAACTAAAATCGCATCTCTCCAGCGTGTACCCCAGTAAGCCCGTAAGTGCTGCGGGCCCCGGCGGGTGCCACAGTAAGCCTGTGGGTGCTGCGGCCCCGGCGTGTGCCCCAGTAATCTCGCAAGTGCTGCCGCCCGCCCAGCTCTGCCTCCCGTTACCGCCGGTGCTCTCAGCTCCCGAGCTTGCGGGAGGCCCTGTGTGCACAGTCTGTCCTCAATATTCGACCCAGGAAGTTCTGTTCGTTAGTGGGAGTGTGCAGAATTTGCACGTATGGAGACAGGCAATATAATATAGAGTCATCAGCCTAATGCGAGAACGCTAGATGCAATCTTTGTGTGTGTATGTGTGTGTGTGTGTGTGTGTGTGTGTGTGCACACCAGTCCTTGGGCTTGAACTCGGCCTGAGCACTGTCCCTAAGCCTTTTTGCTCAAGGCTAATAGTGCTCTACCACTTGGGCCACAGCCCCACTTCTGGCTTTTTGTGGTGGTTAATTGGCAATAATAGTTTTCTGCTCTGGCAGGCTTTGAACCTCAATCCTCAGATCTCAGCTTCCTGAAGAACTAGGACTACAAGTGTGAACCACTGTTGGCCAGGCATGGATGCATTCTTTTTGTTGCTTTTAAAAATAAAGAAGCACAACAACCCACATTAAAGCTCTGACTGTGTACTAGACCCAAATTCCATTGTCACATTCAACACCCAACCTCAGGAATTTGTTGACTGTGGAGAGAAATTTTTTTTCTTGGAAATAAGTATGTACCCCCATACAAACTACACTTTCACAATGGCTATGTATTTCAAGGAGCAGTATTATCATTTGGAAATTGTCTGTTCTTCCCTGGCACCACCCTTTTCTCTTGAACATGTCATAGAAAAAAATATTGGATCATCCTTCCACCCCCCCCCCCCAATCACTTGGTGAATCTTTTGTTCTTTGTCATCCATATTACTCCAGCTATGTTTTCCATTCCAAACCACCACATCTGGATTATTGGAAAGATAAGTAAAATGCACAGATTACTAGTTTGTTCCCAGAGTGTCATTAGAAGGGACCTGGCTGGTAATTTAAAAGTTCTGGAGTGGTGAAATCTTCACATTCTCCATTGTAATAAAGTTCTCATTCTTGAAGAATGAGTGTCCAGTGACTAAACCTTATCTTTAAATATGGAAGAGGTACAGATTTCCAGGTCAGAAATATCTTTGGTGTCAGGACAGTTGAAGCATGGGCCCTTTGGAAGCACCTGTGTGTTCATGCCTGTTCTGTATCTAAAAAGATTACATCTTTGAAGGTATTTATGAGTTAGAACTTTCAGTCCTGCCGTATTAAATTTGGGATCTTAAAACATCTAGAACAACTGAAGAATTACGGTGGTTTTTGCAGAAGAAGCTCAGTTGGCATAACCATGTTTATTAGTACCTTGTGATATCAATATTTTTATTAGAGAGGGGCGGGGACCCTGGGTGTTTAAGTACTTGGAACAAACTAGTTGGAGCTCTTGGTTATTCATCGCATATGTTTGAGATATGTTAAGATACACAGCAAACAACAATTGCTAAAGCATTTCTTTGGTACAAAAGGCTTTGTGTTTCATATAGTTAGATATACACATTTTTGAAGTGAAGAAAGCACCTTTGGAAACTAGTTACAACTGGGGAGTGGGAGGGTAAATTTGATCAAAGTTTATTATATAGACATATAGAAACATCACTATGGAATCCTTTGTACAGTTCATACTCACTAACAAAAGAGAGCAAAAAGAAAATATAAATCATGGATTCCCATTGTGCCACTGATAATTTAGCCCAAATACCATTTGTATTACATTCTTGAGCAGATGTCATTTACATATGTACTGAAGCATATACTTACATGAAATCTCTGTGATATATTATTAAACCAAAAAGCACTAAGTGAGCTATATGATGGACAAGAGCATGACTTTCTCAAACTCTTGTTTTTAAGTGTGAAGTCCATTGGCCTTATCTGCCCTGGGTGACCCTGTTGGGGCAGGAGCTGTCCCTGGCAGGGCCAGGCACTAGTGGAGGAGTGTCAGTGCTCCTGTGTGTTAGCTGCTTGAGTTGGAGATCAGTTGTAAAACTTCTCCTTTCCCACCCATCTGCCTCTTTGGAGGCTGTACAAAATAACATGCATCCTATTCATATCTTCACCCGGTAGCTAGTTTTCTCTGTTTGGCATGTAATTGCAAGGGAATTTCATTTCTAGTTTAACAAGAGTGGGCCAGGGTTACAGGTGTTTATTGTAGAATTTAACTGAAAACTTGTATATCTAGTAGATCCCATAGGTTTACATTCTGGACTTATAACCTGAAATTTCATCACAATTAATTTGAAATGGTGCAGCTGTTCAGTGATACTCCATAGTTCTAGTAGTCATCAGCATAGGAATAGAATCATAAAAGTTAACTTATTTGTAATTCAGAACATTTTTTTTTTTTGTCAGTCGTGGGGCTTGAACTCTGGGCCTGGACACTGTCCCTCAGCTCTTCAGCTCAAGGCTAGCGCTCTACCACTTGAGCTACAGCGCTACTTCCGGTTTCCTGGTGGTTTATTGGAGATAAGAGTCTCACGGACTTTCCTGCCTGGGCTGGCTTTGAACCGTAATCCTCGGATCTCAGACTCCTGAGGAGCTAGGATTACAGGCGTGAGCCACCGGCTCCCGGCTAATTCAGAACATTTTGTAACTAAGCAATATTACAACAGAAGTTTAGGTTTCCTGTGACCACCCACAGTGATGACTTAACAGGGACTGTGTGTAAATGTGTTATGTGTTTTGTTTTTTACATAGGGTCTTGCTATATTGCTCAGGATGGTCTCCAATTCCCAGGCTCTTCCCTCAGTCTCCCACGTGATGCGACTAAAAGTATGACCTTCACATCTGGCCTTTTCCTCCCTCTTCTAGTCAGCTATTAATTTTCTTTCAGAGCTAAAGTTGCACTATGTTACTTAGTAACGCAGTAATAATAAGCCTTTTAAAAATAGGGTTTAAATTTTTTTTTCCTCCAATTTATGCAATACTAGATAGATTTGATTGTCTGGTATGCTTTTATTTAACTCCTTTGATGTTAAACTACCATTTACTAAGTTGTAGCCATGTGGGCCAAGTACTCCACTGAGCAGCACCTGGTGTGTTTTTTCCATGTATTCCTTATGGATATCTTACAGGGTTTATTATCAGCTCTGTCTTACTGATAAGAAAACTGAATAGTGGTGATTTTACAGGGTTGGAGAATTGACTTTGAATCCAGGTTGGTCTGACTTGAAAGTGCAGGTCCTGAATGTTTGCTGTTCATGTTATACATGATGGTTACATCTTTACCTATACAGTAATGGAGCTAGGCAGGCAAGGAATTGTAATCTCAGTTCTGCTCCTGTAAGTAGAATAAGTCTATACATATATGCTTGGATGGTCTCTATAGACAAATGTGTAACCTACTCCTACTCACCAGCTTGGTATATTTCTGTTTATCCTGATAAACCATAAAGAAGAGCTGGCTGACACCTTAATGTCCCAAGACTGCTGAGCACGTGGCTTTGGTGTGTCATTTCAGTCTACTAGGTCCTATGAATTGGCATTCTGTATTGTTCATAGTACCTCTCCTGTGGGACTGGCCTTGGAGTGGAAACCCCCAAGTAGAGAATTGTATTTGGAGTGCCAGAGAAGGTTGCTCCTAGATTCTTTATACTGCTGTTGCTGCAGGGAGAAGGCTGCCATTTTCAAAGTACATCTCAGTAATTACGCCGAGTTCACTAGCAAGTGCCATATCACTTTAAGAGGAGGTGTGTACCAGAAGGTGCACAACTATCAACACCATGGAAAACGGCTACTTACTTTTTTTTTTTTTTGGGTCCGGTCATGGGGCCTGAACTCTGGGCCTGGGCGCTGTCCCTCAGCTCTTCAGCTCAAGGCTAGCACTCTACCACTTGAGCCACAGCACCACTTCTGGCTTTTTTCTTTTTGCTTATGTGGTGCTGAGGAATCGAACCCAGGGCCTCATTCATGCAAGGCAAGCACTCTACCACTGAGCCACCTTCCCAGCCCAAAAATGGCTGCTTTCAAAGGACATGTTAAGTTCTGGTTAACTGAGGGTTGCTTTTGCTCAGCCATTATCATGTTAGGCATTCTAAAGTTTAAAATTAGTATGTAATATTTGATTATGTTTAAGTTGGTAATGGTGGGAACATGAGTTTTTAAGCTGATACAGTTCTGAGAGAATTTTTTAGTCCTTGATATAAAAAGTATATTTTATATATTAACTATATAAAAATTGAAATATAGTATTACTAGTTTTATAAGCTTATCTTTCTAGACTTTTGTAACTATTTAAAATGTGTAAGGGATACATAGTATTCAGTTTTTGCTATCTGGCTAAACATTGTTTCAGCCACCTTAGAAAATGGTGTACACAAACACATGAACACATGAACACTCCCTCCCCCCCCCACTGGGGTTTGAACTCAGACCCTTGTACTTGTTAGGCAGATGCTTTTAATATTTGAGTTGCTCTGCTGGCTAGATAAGGTACATGCATAAAACTTTTTAGAAAGACACAACTTTTTCCAGATTAGTGTTTATTTTTGAGTATCAGGCCGGGAGGTCTAATATTCCTTGTCTGTTGAGTGAGTCACAGCACTCTTCTCTGGGCTGGCTAGTGAAGTGGCTGTCTTACTGGAGTAGTTCTGCATGTAGCTGATGGGTGTTTCCAGCTTGTTCTTCACCTTATAGCTGCCGCTGCTCTGCCATATATGGCCAGGCTCTGTCCAGGCAGAGCAGGAAGGGAGCGTACTTGATCAGATTCACAGGGTATGGTTGTGGGCATCCAGGAAGAGCAGTGCTTGGGTCAGTAGAAATAGTTTTATTTATCTGACCCTAGCATCTAAAGCTGTACAACTTCTTGCTCAACAATTAGTACAAATTAGTGCTTCCTCTTTTGGTAGTTCTTAGTCTTCTGGATGCTTACATTTAAAAGGTGCCATGTAATATTTTCATTTGGAGAAAAATAATATCTTACTGTGTTAATCTAC